ATGAGCCGATAGAAAGAGAGGGGTTGGGGTAGATAGCAAGTGTGATGGGGCCACACTAGAATTGCCACAATAGGGCACACATGTTGATGACTGGAATGTGAACAAGTGAGAAGTTGTGATAGGGCGGCAGTGGGATAAGAGGGTACAGATTAGATAGATAGGCCCGGACAGAAAGAGGAGTAATAGTGTAACCGTTTTCGGCAGAACTTTTTTTGAGGGATTGATTTCACTTGTCTCTGACGAGTTCGTTGCTTGGTGCGGAGAACGGCAAAGCTCACTGATGATGCCGACTGTGATGCCGGCGAAACGTTTAAGAATGTACCAAGTTCACTGTCTGATGCTGGGAATCATGACATCTACTATGACAAACGACTTCGGATTAGGTGCGTTATACTAAGTCGCCTTGACAACAAGACCAAGTTGCGACGACTAGGTCACCCTACTTCTATAAATCAAAGGAGATTGCGACCATACCAGAGGCCACAGCATCTTGGTTTTCATATCTTCAATTAGACTCAAGTTAGTTTTTCAATTTTTTAGATATTGCTGTCTGTTATTTCATCAATCAACTTTTTTCCTTTCGCATGAAACTATACCAAATTTAGGTTGAACTAACTCTGAAATAAATGTTGAAAATTAAACTATTTCGATGCAATTTAGATGAGACTTTTAAAGGAAAATATTTACTATCTATCCTAAGAATAATTCTTTCACTGCCATCGAAAACAAGTTTATTATCTTAATTACACTCTAATATCGTTACATGATAATAGGCTTATATTTCCACTTGTTACCAGATGTGTTGACTAATTTATTCAAGGCTTTTGCCATCTGCTCTTTGCTATGCTCTTTACAAGGTCGAATAAAGTAATATTTTTCAATTTAGTTTTCTTTGCTATCTCGATTTTACTAGTTGAAAATATTTTTAATCAGTTTTCAGAACCACGCATCTAAGTAACTTCTGTATAGCTGATCCTATTTGCTACTAATATTATTTTGGATATGAAGGTATTGGTGAATGATGGAGTCTGGCTACTTCGTTATTCAGACAAGAAGCTTCAGTGCTTTTTCTGTTGTCTTATTTTCTTTTCAATCATTTTTAATTTTTAGGTCTGGATGAGATAACAAAGCGTCTTAATCTCTGTACCGAGCTTAAGACGGATGCCGATTTGAACTGGGCATTGAAGTGGACCCGCAACGCTTTCACACTTTTGGCCATGATGAACTACCCTTACAAGACCAATTTTCTTTCTGAACTGCCACCTAATCCAGTCAACGTCTCTTGTAATCTTTCCATCGAATCAGGCCCCCTTGGTACGTGTCATCTATGCATTATACTCTTGAGGTCTTATGGGATTAAGTTTGAACATAAGTAAAATATCTTTGTATACTTTGAATATAGGAATTATGCTTTCTTAATAAAGACACCCATTCTGCTCAAACTCATCGATACTTTCCATTGACCTTGATAATGATTATTCCTGTATTATTGATAAATAAATTGAGCTATTAATAATAATTCATATAGCTGATAGAAACATTATACTGCCCTTATTATTCTAGCATTGTAATGTATAAATCCATTGCTCAGCATATTGATACTCTAAGGAAGGCAATCTTCTTTTCGTCGTTAATTTTTTTGATGGATCAGTCTGTGCTGTATATTGCGTTACAATTTTAGCCAAGCCATTTACGAAGGAGCCTGGTTTCTATCACCTAATTTTGAATATGTGAATTTCACCTTCAGATGCTTTGCGCTATGCGATGAATTGATATTTTATGCTGCATATGGTAAACACAGAGTGTTCCGCCAACATAAAGCTCTTCGAACTTCAACGAATGTGAACAACAACTTTGCTTTAATAAAGAATTGCGCCTCTTAGTTCACATCCTCAACTAAAATCTTGTTTTTAAAAAGGTAGCCACCTTTAAGATTTTTGTGCACAGTTTTGGCCACCTTGAACCACTCTCCTTTCTCGGTTAATAAATGCGAAGCTTTCATCACATAAAGGATTTTCCCAGAGTATCCTGACA